TAAAGCACAGAGTACACATAATAATTTTTAAGAGGGATATAAGCCTTTACCTGAAGGAAATGACAACAAGATCAATAACAGAAACAACACAAACAACAAAAACAAATCTTACAATGTATGAGAAAAAGATAATAAAATTTAATGTTTGATATAACAGACTTGTTAACTTTAACTCTTTTTTTTTTTTTGTCTTTTCCTTTTTATCGGTACCTGGGATCAAACTCATGACTGCCTGCTTGCAAGGCGGGCGCTTATGCTGCTGAGCTAAATCCCCAGTCCCAACTTTAACTCTTTAGAGATTAAACTTCTTGCCATAGTTATCACCTAGTTTTAAAATGACCCCCAAAGTTTGCGTTTGGAGGATAAAAGACTAATACCCGACTTGCTTTCTGGGGGAAGAGTCTGCTTGGAAGAGGCTGGTCACTGTGGGGCAGCTAGCATGGCACCTCTCCTTTCTGGCTTTTCCCTTGCTCTCTGTGCTCCCCCACTGCCATGAGGTGAGCAGTTTGTCTTTTTCTTCATGCTCCTCTGCTTGCTGGTCCTTTTTGGGAGATGGCCGACCACAGATTGAAATGTGAGCAACATAAACTTCCCCTGCTGAAAGCTGTGTGAAGTATTGTGTTGCATTAACAAAGGAATATAGTTACAGAGTAAGGCTCAGATTAATCTTTAAAAATCACCATTCATTTAGATGTTTCCTTTTAAGTAATGCATAACTCTTCATAATCAATTAATTATAAACTCCTATGTCTTTATTCCTGTATCTTAATTTCTTCATAAAAACAATTTTGCAATTATGTTATCATGGTCTAAAAGTTTTATTTACTTTTGAATATACTGTTAAAGACTTTGTATTCATGTTTATGTAATTACAGTAAACACTGTGTAAAAGGTGACATTTTAAAATAAAATTTGGAATGTGAAGGTAAATCTTGAAGGTAAAATTAGGGAAAACTTAGAACGTCACTAGTGAAATGATTAATAATCTACCATACAAAGTTGTGTCAATTTTACTTCTGTCATCTTCCATAACACCACAGGATCTTAACTAAAATAATAAGAACTATGTTTTGTTGCTTTTTGTTGTTAGAAATTTATACTTGGCTGGTCAAAAACATAAAATTAGAATGATCTTATGCAGGAATGTCCTTGCTTAGCATGATAAATTTTATCTAATAAATGAAAAACGAGGAGCATTATAATAGGCAACACAAGTCTAAAATATGTTCTGAATTGTAATCCTTTTTATTTCTTATAGTGACCATGATGAGGCTTAGAAAGACAGCATTCAACTTACGTAAAAGGGAAAAATTCTAGAAGAATGTTTCTTTGATTTACTTTTTTCCAAATATCAATGCGTTTCTTCTGAGAGTATAACTTATGAAATAAAAATTAGTTGCCAGGGTGAAATACTGGAAAGAGTAAAATAAAAAGTGCTGTTGCACAGAATAGAGAGCCAGCTATAGTGAAAAACTAAAATAAGCATTTGAGCTTATAATAAATGTCTGTTACATTACAGACAGCAAAGTTCATTTATTTTTTTTTGCATTTGTGTCTACATAATAACTGTAAATAAAACATTCCGTAAATTTACTCTTCACATTTTTCTTTTAATTAAGCAAATGCCATTTTATATATGCTAACTGGTCATATTATTTTTTAAAAAAAAGAATAATTATCATCATTTTGAGAAAACATCAACCTTTCCCCCAAGTTCAACCACATCTCACTAAGAGTTTCTTAAAGTATTCCTCACTTGTAACATCATATTCTATATTTGAATTTTGTCACCTCCATTTACTATCAAATTCATTACATTTTCTATTTTCCTATTATATATATAAATATGTGTTATAAATCTTTTATGTGTAGAAATGGACATAATATATACGTAGTAATAAAGTAGTACATAATAGGATAAGAAACAGAACCCAAATAATTATTTTCTTCAACTAGAGTTAGAAACGTTGCTTGCATAAAACACATATGATACTGTTGCACTATTTTTTCACTTAATATCAATGAGAGTTGGACCCTTCCAGTGTTGTTGGAAAACATAAACATAAGATTCATTTATTTATACTTTTCATTTGAACTGTATATGGAAACTTTTTTACAAAATCTTGAGATGGTCCATTGACTCTTTTTGAAGATTTAGGTCTTGAAGAGAAAATGATGCAAGGTGTCAAGATACGAGCTGCATTGCTTCCCAACATTATGTGAAGACTTTGTTTATTTCATTTCATTTGACTTGATTTTAATTGGTGTGCCTATGGTACTAAGGAAGCTTGTCACTATCCCTTGAGACTCCTAATACAACCAGGGTAGTGTTAGCTGTGTAGGTAATTGTGCTTTTGTTCACAAAAGTTGGTATTTTACTTTTTTTTTTTTTCGTATCCTAGAACATATCCTCTGGTGAATGTGTTTAATGTTGCTTGGGCAGTAAGGACATTTAACAAGCAAACAGACCTGTTATGGGCTTATAAAGATGCTAGTGCCAGTCTTGTTTTATACTGAGGTGTCAAACAAAGGATTAAATAGATGGCCATTTGGGGTGAATGGGCTCATTTTAGATGCTTTGTACATTCTACATGTGCCACCCTTCTTTTGAACTAATAACTCTCTTTTCTGATTCACACAAATTTGGGATCTCTTTGATAGCACAGTTTCTGATGGCTAATCACTACTTGAGTACTTGATGGGTACCTAAATTACTCCATACCTGGAGACTACATGAAATGCAGCTGCAATCAATAAGCTAAATTGACTTGCATATTTAACATGTGAAATTACCTTCATTTTTTTTTTACCTGTAATATCATACAAAGCTAGCTTTCTTAAGGATATTGCTAATATTGCAAGTGGTTAATGACCCAGCATCCAGAGAAGCTGACTTAGCTTCATATAATAGTATCTTAATTTATTAGTTTTTCAACCTTTCTCTTGACAAATTAATTTTTTCAAGTCAGTTATCTCCAAAGTGAGGGGCTGTACTTCACAGTAGGGTTTTTACAAATATAAAATGAATTAAGTTCTATAAAGTAGGTATCCTAGTGCAGAACTTCTCAACCTCAAAATTATTCTTATTTGGTCCTGATAGTTCTTTGTTATGGAAGTAAAATTGTCTCCACACCCACTGAGAAGCATGAGCCTACTTCTGAGGCAACCACTTTCTTAATAAGTATCAGCTATCATTATGCAGAATAGTTTAAAAGGCTGTGCTATTTTTGAAATGCTAATTGGAAAATTTTCCAATAATTTTACTGTTTTTCATAGAAGTTAATTGAATCTCCAGTGGACTGAGATTTTCAAAAGTGATGATTAACTTTTTGAGCCCAGATTTGAGGAAGTAATTACTTTTTTGCATCTAAAGGTAGTTGCATTGAACATTTCTGAGCTTTTCAAAACTTTCTGGGAATTTTTATTTTACTTTAAAAATTTTTCAACTGCTCACTAAAGTGAAGAACTCATACTGATGGACCATCATCATCATTCACCAAGTTATGAATTTTTGTCACATGCATTTTGTCTTTCTGAAATTAGTGTAAACAGTCATAGGGAGAGAAAGTGAACTGTTTAAGTAACTTAAATATGATCCATTCTAGTAAGTGTCCTTTTCATTTGCCTATTTAATCCCACTTATCATTTTAGTGGTATATTTTCTGTATATAAGACTATACAGATGACTAAATTATACATGCATCTAGATTTTCACATCAAAATTCAAAACACCTTCAGTTTGCACATCTAAATTTTTCTTGATTTTACAGGAAAATCTCTTTAGAGATGGATTTCTGCTTACATCCTAAATTACTGAACAGAGTGCAAACTTAGCATATCACCTGTTTTGCTGGTTCCTATTTTTAAAACACTTTTGCTTTTACTGAATCATAATGAATTTTCTGATCACATTTAACCTAATTTAATAAAAATAAAAATCAATAATTTTCAGATAATTTTAGTTGACATCATATATTTGTCTCTCATTTAAAAAATAACATTGTTAGCTGTATGTAAGAGTGAATTACATTTGAAATTTTGATAGCATTTTAGTTGCTGGTGAATAGAAATATGATAAACATTAATTCTCACAAAGTCTAACTAATGAAAAAGTACATATGTCTGAGGCTTTAATATATTTTTAATGACTGTAGAATTTTTAAACCTTAATGTGAAAACTGAAATAGAAAACTACATTAGACTGAATTTACTAATTTTTAAATTTTGAATTTGCTAATTTAATAATTTTGATAAACTAGAAACAGAAAGAAAATTCTATAATGAAAATTGTCATACTCCCCAAATTAAAAAAAATAGATTTATTATGTCTTATTAATATGGTAGAATTCTGGAATCCCTTGAATGAAAGTGTTATGTTTGTGGTGCTCCATCTATTATACATATTTAACCTAATTTTTATATTGAAAGCACAATTATAAAACAATTTTAATCTGCCACTAAACAATTTTACAAATATTGTATCTGTGTAATTCATTGTCATTCCTTTCTACATTCCTCTTTGCCTTTCTTTTAGCTTATCTTGCAGATAAAAACCTCCCTGGTTAAAATGATTTGATCATTGACATATTTGATCATTGACACATGATCTCACCATTTGTGAACATGAGAGAAAATTGGTCAATGGCCCTTTAGATTTAAGGATTTAAGAAACTTGAATGGAAATTAATTTCAACATTGAATTTTATGATACTGCATGTTACTTTTATCTGGTGAAGTACCTTTCCTCTTCTGGTGAACAGAATTACATTTATTTGCTTCCCAGTGATAGAGCCAAGCTAAATCTGAGCAAAGTGAACTCCTGAGCCTAATCTTATATTCTGTTAACCAGTAATAAAGACCCTTGCTGGCCTGACAGGTTGTCACAGCAATTATTCACATTAAGTTCTGTAACAGTTGAATCTGTCAGCCCATGTAGTATTGAATATTTTAACTGGCAGTTGTCCAAGACTGAACATTAATCTTACCATCTCCTATTACAGTCCCTAACCAAGATATTCCAGGGGTGATTGCACTCACATTGTTTGAAGACTACATCTACTGGACTGATGGGAAAACCAAGTCACTCAACCGTGCCCATAAAACCTCGGGAGCAGACAGACTCTCACTGGTTAGCTCATGGCATGTCATCACAGATGTCCAGGTGTATCATTCTTACAGACAACCTGATGGTAATTATTCTTTCCATGATTTCCATATTGCATCTGCATCTTTCAGTAATATTCCACTTTTTATTATATCAGCATTAAGTGTAACTTTACTTTTGACCAAAATGACAAATTTCATTATCCTTACTTTATACAATGAATCCAGCTGGTTTCAAGGTTCTATTAATAAGTCAAAGAAGTAGAAGCTCAATCAGAGCACAATTGTTGATTTGTTCAAATCGTACTAAGTTGAAATAACAACGAAATATGGTTGGAGAAGTGAAAATTAAATTCATGGAGTGGTTTATTTACAATATAGTTATAGTATCTTTAGAATGCCGAGTGGGAAGAAAAACACTTAACCACCTTAGGGTTTAAAAAACGACAATTGTAAAATTTGCTTCTGCATTCATCTTACAGGTTTTTTACTATGCATTGTGGAGTAAAGATTTGATCATTTTACTGAAAGAACATAATTAGGACCAGAAATAAAAGCCTAGAACTGTTAACTATAGTCGTCAACTAACTGTCTTCTTTTACTTTGTATTTCTAAGCATAACTATGTCTCTATCTAAAATACTCCTGGTCTCAATTTATCCCTGAATGTTTTTTTTTTCTTCTTATATACTTGTGTTGTAGAAATAATTAAAGATGTTTAACAGTCAAATTGATGTCATTAGATCATGAAAAGCATTTGTAAAATATCTCCTATGATTATATTCATGATCAGTTTTTTACTATAAAATTGTTTCAAATATAAATTATGAAGCTCAAATGTCCTGTCTCTAACCCCGTGTCACAGTATGGTTCTTATTTTGTTGATTTCTCTTTCTCATGTGTAGTCCCCAAACACCTCTGCATGATAAATAATGGTGGTTGCAGTCACTTGTGCCTGTTAGCACCTGGGAAGACCCACACCTGTGCATGTCCCACCAACTTCTACCTTGCTGCTGATAACAGGACTTGTCTATCTAACTGCACAGCTAGTCAAGTGAGTCAAAATCTTGAAAGCCTCATATGGGAAATATCTCTAGGAAGTGTTTATCCAGGTTTTGCTTGAATATGCTTATATCCTGACACCAGCATTGAAATATTAATTTTTTGTCTTTTTGTTTCTAATAGCATGAATGTTAACAGATAACTAAAGTAGTTCTATAGCCACAAAGTTAGAGAAACAAAAGAAAACGAAAGTAAAGCCATTCTTACGTAATCCATTTGGAATAATTTCTCATATCTTCCGTGGTTATAGGGGGAGTATCAAAGGACAATACATAGTTTAAGATGACTTGGAAATTGAAGTTTGGGAAATTAAAAAAAATCTTCCTAGATAATTTGCTCTGAATGATCATTCACATTGTCTCCCATTCTTCATAAACAATGATTGCAGAAAGAATAACTAGATGTGGACTAATTCTCTAGACTTCTTTAAACTGAAAGGCAAAATAATTTTCTTGTGAAAATATTCTTTTGCTTACAAATTTAATTATTTTTTTCTGACAATATTTCAGAGGAATTTTATTTCTTTTTACTTAATGCTTTCAAACTATGGGGATCAGTTATGTGACATTTTACAATTGGACACTGTTACTTTTGATTGGTTATTTTTATGGGTTATGTTTAATTTGAGATAAATGTTTAAGCTTTGACTAACCTTTTAAAACAACTAAATCTACACTTAGAGTTTTGTGCACCCTGATTTTCAGTTATTAGCAGTGACTTTATGGCAAGAAATTAAATTTCTCTTTAAGTGAGCTTATGTTTAAAATAGAGAAACTAATAGTAGCTCAGTGTACCTCTTTGATTAGAAAATGAGAATCATACTTGTAAAGACCGTAAAACAGAAAGAGGTCATATACTCTTGCAACATGTCAGTACTTCTAAGAGTTAAGAGGACAGACTCTGAAACAGTCTCTGTGATCATGAACTCCCTTTAAACTGGCTGGGTTGCCTAGGTTTGCTACATAACTTTTTGCTTTCTTGGTTTTTTATCTTTTAAATGGAATGCTGGTTTCTTTAGATGGTTTTCTAACATGTCAGTGAAAAGCACAGAAAGAATAAATATGTGTTTTTAAGAAAAGCCAGCATTTATTATTTCCCATAATTTTGAAAATCATGATGTTCAATATGAAAAGGCTGCATCAGGAAGAAGAAGGAAGTGGAGAACAGGAAGAGGCAGCAAAAGAACCTGGGAAAGAACTCCCTTTTATAACAAGAAGCTCCTTTGGTAACTAGCCCACTCCCCAGAGAGATAACCATGTTAATCCACTCATGAGTACGGAGTGCTTTGTAATCTAATCTTCTCTTAACGCCCTGCCTTCCATTATCTAGTGATAGATTTCCACATGAGATTTTGAGACGACTTGCAAACAAGAGCAATAATATTTCCAGGTAATTCTTATGAAAATAGACAGGAAGACTCTCCAGCAAGTAATATTTGTTGTCCTTAACCTTGTTCTCTGGTGCAACTGGCATATAATTAAAAGAGTATATGTGAGACTAATGAGTGCTGTCGTTAGAAGGTTCTCATGTCTAGTTGAAAGCACAGGTCCTGGACTTTGCTTTCTTTACAAAGTGTGTTGTTCTCATTATGATTTCCTGAGGGTTTATTTTTAAGATGCATTTTTTTCAAAGATCTAGAATTGTAAATCACTATAGAAGATAACAGCAACAAGCTAATTATTCCTTAAATAGTAATAAAATTTAATGGAAAACTGAGTCATTTTAATCTTAAAATATAATTCCTCAGGGCTGGGGATTTAGCTCAGCAGCATATGCGCCTGCCTTGCAAGCAGGCAGTCACGAGTTTGATCCCTGGTACCAATAAAAAGGAAAAAGACAAACAAAACAAAACATATATATATAATTCCTCTTAATTTTGCCTAGTACAATTTCCAACTCACCCTGTTAGTATGCTGAAAAACCCTTGGTCCCTTGCTACTGAGTGCTGAGCAAGCCAAAACAATGTGCTGGGACCTAAGATAATGAGTCCATTGTTGACCAGTAGAGGCACTGCCCTCAGTAGCCGCACTATGTGTGATGAGCCTCAACAGGGTACTAACACTGGGGAAAAGCCGAAGATAAATTTTCAAAATACGAGACAGGGGTGGGGAGCCATCAGCACTGATACAAGTACAGAACGAATAGAGCTTTCCAAAGCACTGTATAAGAAAATCTGTAATTACACTTACTCAGTGCCAAAAACCTGATCAGCCAATTAATCAAAAACTTCAGCTGAACACAAATTATATGTTTAATTTATTTCCGATTTGATATCAATGGCAAGACTACAGTTCTTAGAACTTTTCAAATACTTGATAATCTTCATCGTGGGTTTTTAAAATAGCAAAACAAAACAAATAGAACAAAATGTGGCTCCGATAATTTTTGTTTTCAGCCACATTACTTGAAAAAGTAAGTTATTATTTCATTTGTCTTACAATCAATAAAAAGGATAATAATGGACAGCTCACACAGTCCAACAGTGGCTGTCCCTGTGAGCCTTTTGACCGATGAAGCTGTTTTACCGATGATATTTGTCTGATTTCAGGAAAGAAAAAATAAACTATTATAAACTTCTTAGAGAAAAATCAATTTATAAAAACACAATTTTCAGTGAGACAGACACAGCACAGTAATAAGAATGAAACAATGTGAGAATCTGTAAAAGGTCAACAGTAATTCCAATTCTTATATGACTAACTGATTAACATGATTAACTTAAAACATTTTAATTGGAAAACATAATCAAATTTTAAAAATGACTTTTTGATGTTTTAAGTGAAGACCTTTTATAGTTCAAATATCCTTCACCATACTGGAATTTGCATTTTGTTCTTGTATTCATATCAGCAGACATGTGCTTAGTTTTTCATAGTTTCGTTTTGTGAGTGATAATTACAGTCTAAAATTAATTTTATGAATATAATAGTATTATAGAACATTTACTATGAAAAAATATTTTATATTTTTATTTATTGCTGATCTCCTCAAACATGAAGTAGAAGAAATCTTCTGAGAATAAAATGTTGGTTGGTATGAAAGTTTAACATAAATATATTTTATCCTGATTTCTCTTAAGTCAGAACTCTTACATTCTTATTAAAAATGAAATGAAGGAAAAATTGTCATATGTAATTCTAACATTTATTTAAATCAAATATAGTGATTGAATTTTTAAAAAAACTACATTTTAGATGTCCTAAACATAATCAGGAATACTTTGAAGATGCTCGGGAGACTGCCAGTCCTCTTACTAATGTGCATTGCGATAGCATAATGACTGAAATATTTAATGTTCAGGGCCCTTGCTGTCAGAGTTAGTCTCAGATCCCCAGATAGTCACTATGAATAAAGATAATTTCCCCCCACTGGAATTTATGAAAAATCACAACAGACGTGAACCAGGCTAAGCAAACAAGAAAGCCACTTCAACATTTAGGTCTCCCTTAGGATTCCAACTGCTCTATCCCATTTCATATTGAACTGGAAGAAAAATTTATTCTCATATTTAATGTAATTCAACCCTGAATCAACTCCAAAACCCATCAGGTTGCATAAAAACTAACAAGAAATTCTCTTTTTCTGGAAGAAAATACTATTTCAGTGAGGGAAAGTAGTATTTTAAGTGAATAACTCTTGGATTGCTCTTCCATTTTCTTTAGAGATGATTGAATGAAGGCTATATTTTTCTGTTAGAAGATTTTCTTGCATGTAATACATTAATATAAATGCCAGATCTCTGTCAGTCACACATATGGGAATTAGAAACACTTCAAAAAGAAAATAGATTTTAAAAATTCAAATATTATTATGTGATTTTCACAGAATTTTTATTGAAAAAGAAAACAATTTGGCAGTACTAGAAAAAACTGAAAGAATTTTATATATTGCTTGATTTAATAATTTAAACTGAAATTTTTAATGGCAAATATATGGTATGTAGATTTTCTCCATATGAAAATTGTTTTTTTTTCCTTTTTCCCTATCTGCATGTTCGTGAAAAAGGAAATAATTTGTATTTGAAGGTCATTAAAGAATAAATTGATTTTTTTAGTCACCATGAACAATTATCCAGTAGTATTGTTAAGTAAAATAGTTCAATTCTCTGAAATGGTATGCCATTTGGGTTCAGATATCTTTGCTTGTCATAAACAGTAGACAGTAGTAACTTTCTGAAATTTTTCTCTAGTAACAAACCATCTGAGTGCTAAATAAACCTATACCTAAGTATTGCTGCATAACAATCTACACTAGCATCTTGATTGTTAATCTTTCACTTGATGGCTAATTTTAAAAGGCAATGTAAAAACAAAACTCTATTTCTTCTTATAATTAGTAAAATTATTACCCTTTCTGTGGATCTTTCTTCAGGTTTTTTTTTTTTTTTTAAGTGCAAAGGATGAGAGAACAAATCAAAACATTGGCACAATTTCAGTGAATATTTATATAATCTTAATAAGTTAAAAATTATGTGTATATTTCTGTTTAAAATAAATTCCAATGAAAAGGATTTTAAAAACTGTAATGTCCATTTATTATCCTAATAAGCATTATATATTTATTAATCTTTCTAAAATCTAAAAATAACTGTATTGACCTTCATTGTTCAAAGAAGTATTCCTAAAGTTTATGTGGTCAGATACTGTGCGTTTTAGTGTGAAGGATACTGTGTTTTTAGTGTGAAGGAACTTCCCCATATAATGACAGGATTAGAGAATGGACAAGTCTTCACAGTGATGTTCAGCTCCTCATCTTGGTTGAGAACATGAGCTCAGAGCTCCTGATTTACCCCAAACTCAAATGCCATTCAATAAATTAACTCAAATTAACTAGATTAATATCATTTAATGTGTCTTCCAGACATTGTTTAGTATTTCGCAAATTTTTTAATGTAATGACTTAAAGAGTAACTATTTTAGGTTTCTTTGGGTCATAAGGTTCTGTAGCAACTATTAAACTTGGCTCTTGGAATACAAGCATCCCTGAAGCAGTTCTCCTTTAGTGAGTGTGCCTGTATGCACAGAAACTCTCAGGAGCTATCCCTCAACAATGGACTTTCCTATGGCTACCTTTTATGCATTTATTATCTATTGTACAAGGTTTTACTCCAGTACCATTCATATTTACAAAAAGAGAGCAGGATAGCTGTGCTGTTTCAGTGAATTATTAAATGGAATTTATGTTTTTCTCCTTTTTTGAAAGTTTCGTTGCAAAACTGACAAATGCATTCCATTCTGGTGGAAATGTGACACTGTGGATGACTGTGGGGATGGATCTGATGAACCCGATGACTGTCGTGAGTACATGGGGGAAACGTTGCAATTTAGAATTAAAGTTCCTTATATTTAAGGTCCAGACAACTGAAGCTCTATATAAAGTATTTGCTTATACAATACTTTGCCAAACTTGACATACAAAGGGTTCATGTGACAGTCTTTGAAAATGTAACAAAACCTGTTACCATGTCTTGACTGTTTCACTTTTAAAATGTTAGAATGAAACCATCAGCAATTTGTCTTTTCTTTCCTTTATCAAAGTTTAATTCATGTAGAATAATTACACTGCTTCCTATAGTGTTCAGTAATGTGATGAGTGGCGAAATTTTGACCAGTATATAGCTAAATTGGAAGCAAGAATAAGCAGGTTTTTAGAATGTCACACGATGAATGAAATCCTACCCTTAAGGAGTACAAACTTTAAATTTTTCTTTCAATATTAAAATCCTAAAAATAAAACCTTTAAAAGTTGGATTTTTAAAACAATAATGATTAGTTTAATGACAGTTTAATATCTTCAACTTACAGGTAGTACATTGACTACCAATAATGCCCTCTGATTGTGACTGACATTTTTAGGTGCTACTGTTTTAATGGTCCTTGGTAACTTCGGTGGTAATGGACAGCCAACAGACTTTCCAATGATAGTTCACTCTACAGTTCACTCTAATACTGTCTTGTCAAGTTGAAGACGCTTTTAGTCAATCATGATAATTCCCTCAGCATCTCAGTGGATATTTGCCATGATTTGGCCATGAAAATTGAGTTCAAGAACTTTAGGTTTGCACTGAAAGCTAGTTCCTTTCTGTGCTAAAGCTCTCTACCACCTAATTATAAACCTGTTTCAAATTTAGGGACTTTAGAAAGTTACTTAAATAAGCTGTGTTCTCTCTGCTCACAACCAAGTCTATCACACAATAGAAGTTGTTTCATCTAGTCTGTATGTTTGTAAATAACAAGGAATAAGAAGGAAAAATATTATAAAAGTCATATTTTCTATATACAATCCTTCTATATTAAAAAGATTTCCCATTCTTTAACTTTTAAAAGTGTTCTTTTGTTTTTGTTTTGTTTTTTTATTTTGTTATGATAGAAGATTTACAAAGACTCTCATGTGGCCAGGCAAGGTGGCACATGGCAGTAATCCCAGCAGTGCGGAAACTGAAACAGGGAGATCACTGTGAATCTGAGACCCCCCTGGGCCACTGTAGGTCAGCAGAATGCTGCCCCTTCCAGCCCCAAAAGAGTACATGATTTGAATACCTACTGTAGAATAATGTTGTATCAATTCATAGAGTGCAAATATATTTTCATTGAAGTGATTTTAATTTTTATTTCATGATTTAGCAACTTAACTACTGGATACATATCCAGTAGTAAACATATATCTTTGTTTATATCTATACCTTGAAAAACGTGTGAATTATTCTTTCTCTTTAAATCACTAAACTACTACAAAATTATTATGTAGAAAGTTAATGTAGTGACCTTACTCTGTGTTATATATGAAAAGAAATTTATTACTTATATCTTAATTTGTACTTGTAGTTTAAATAAACAACATTGAATATTTTAATTTAGCTCTTGAAATAAGAACATGACCTTTACTACCCAGATACCATCTTTTCTAAGTAAGTAGTACCCTAGTGACCAGTGGTAAAGTGAAGATCACAAGATGCCTTTCCTTTTAAAATATTGGAGCTCCTGATCTTTAATATTAATCAACTGAAATTTCACACTAGATTCACATTGCCATAGAAAATGACAGATTTAATGGAATACATTTTTTTTGGAATTCACCCAATTTCAGAAAACCTTGTGATAAAATACTAATTTGGTGTTTATTAGATGCAGGTATTGATATCTACACATTTCATTTCTTAATTTATAAGTACTGATTACATATATGTATAATGCACTGCATGATATATACATTTTTCATGGCATTTCACATATGCATTATCTCACATGCTTCTCATATTTTTCATTGTGATAACACATGAAATCTACTTTGTTTGAATTTTTCAAATATCCAGTATCGCTCTTAAGTATAGTTATTAAGGTGTACCATAGATTTTATGAACTTTTTCTTCCTGTCTGATGTTTTGTTTCCTTTGACCAATATCTCATCAGTCCCCCAGCCTCTGATAACTACCATTTTACACTCTTCTTATGAGTTCAAGTTTTACAGATTGTACATATAAAAGAGATGTGTGTCTTTATGTGCCTCATTGTTTTCATTTAGCATAATGATGTCTAGTTTTATGAAAGTTATGATAAATGAAAAAACTCATTTTCGTTTAGCTTAAAAACTTTTTATTATATATGTGTATCAATTGATCGATCAATTGCTTGTTGATCGACATACATACCGTATTTTCTAGGGCCATTCAGCCATTCATCTGTTGAGGGATGCAGAGTGGTTTTGTATCTTGAAATACATGCATGCGCTGTAGCAATTAATGGAGTACACATATCTTTTCAAAATATTGATTTTGTTTTTCATTTCATATTTAGTAACTTAACCCCTGCATATATATCTAGCAGAAAGTCTGTGAATCTCTATTCCTCTCTCTCCCCCTATTCCTAGGTAGATGGAGAGACAAATAATTATCACTGGTGAACATTTCTTCATATACATTTTGGCTATTTCTATATTTTGTTTCTATTTTAATTTCTATTATTAAATCCTTAGCCAATTATTTAATTTAATCATCTGTTTTGATACTATTGAGTTGAGTTTCTCATTTAATTGTGTATTATTCTCTTATCAGGATATACGACTTACTAGTATTTTCTTCCATTTCATAGCCTTTCTCTTCGCTTTTGATGCTTCCTTTGCTGTGCAGAACCATCATTCTAGCTTAATGTAATGCCTTTCATCTATTTTTACCTTTGTTACCTATGCTTTTTTGTGTCATATCCAACAAATCTCTGCTCAGCCCCTTGTCATAGCAATGTTTCCTTATCTTTCTCTCTAGCAGTGCTTCATCATTTCATTGATGTCATTGTCTATGTGTGACCTTTAGTAAATAGACTTCGGTGTTGGTGATGTTATCTCTGTGGCCTTTAGCAAAGAATTATTTGCTTGTACTCAATGGGTGAATATTTATTACCATGACACTTTTTTTTTTTTTTGAGAGCAACGGGGAGATGGAAATTTACATGAGTCTGTGGAGTGTTTAAGTACCATTTTGGATCTCTATATCTTCAACATTTGTGGTTATTAAGAGCCACTGACCATTTCTATTGCTAAAGAAGACAGGAAAGCCTTTTTCTAAAATCACTTACTGATAAGGTTACATAATGCTATTTACATAAATACATTAAAAGTGATGTGTGAAGAATTATATGCTATTATAAGTTTGTACTTAATTTTCCTACATCATAGAACAGAAAGATTCATTACTGGTATTCCCCTTATTTCACAGATGTTCCTTTTTAGCATAATACTAACATTACTCAGTGTGCAACACATACAGATAAAAAAAATACAGTTTCAGTCCCCATGAGTAAACTGTAGATTATCATGAAAGACTACAGAAATAGCCAAGCACAATAAACCTCTAGAGAAATAAATCTCACCAAATTGAGGCAGTACATTCACCTGACTACTCATGTCTTCAAATCTCTGCTTAGCACTCATGGAAAAGTATAATGTGACTACTGTAATTAGAATTATAATTTTCTTTGCTCACAGGTAGGAAATGTCTAGCAGTAGCATGCTGATTCATGCTGACAAAACTAAACCTTTCATTTTCGTTCTTTAATCACAAAATTACTGTTTTGAAAAAATCTTATTAAATTACTAAGTTTCCCAGAGTGGGCTTGAACTTGTGGTCCTTGTGTTTCAAACTCCTAGTGTGCTGAGATTACAGGTTTATTCTGCTAGGCATTTATTTATAGATGTAGCCACTTTTATGGAAGAGCTGTTTATGTGTAAAAGAAGTGTTGAAGAATATCATATATAAGGTGATAGAATTAAAGGAAGTGCACAATTCAGTGTATAAAAAAGTATAAATATTTAACTAAAATTTTTAAATATTGAAAGTAAATAACACATCATTTTAGAACTTTCTTTTGTCTATGGAATTGAAATACAAAATAAGATTAATCTCTAAAATAACATTTTTAGTCAATACGGTAATAAAATAATTTATTTGCCCAAGTAAGTTTGAACTGTCATTTATTAATGTTTGATTCACTTATTTGAACTAATGAAGAACATGTTATTAATCTCATAATCAAGAATTAGTAATGTATAGTAGTATCATTAGTCAAAAAATTAATGTTCTACAAACACTGATTTTTTGATACTTCAGAGTCAGATTTAGATCTGAAATCTAACTGGTATTCTGAGTGAATTAGTAATATTCATGAAACAGAATTTCCTCATTTATGAGTTTAGTAATATCAAGTTGAGAGCATTATAAAATTAATTTAAAAACTGAATGTGATGCTGGGCAAGCATGAGGACTTGAGTTCAAGTCCAGATAATAGCAACAACATAAAGAATGCACAAAACCGAATGTGACGTAGCATGCAGCTCAGTACCTGGTACAAAATAGATCACAGTGGATTTTGCTTTATTGTTAATCATATAAAATCAAATAATATAGCAAAAGAAAATGCATTTTCACTTATGAATTATTATGGACTGTATATATACTTAAATATGCATGACATGTGAAACACTATACTTATATATATGAGTATTACAGAAATATATATCAATAAATTTCATTTAGATGTGATAGTGGAAGCATATGTTTCAAGTTTTAGTAGAGACTATGCGTTGAAGACAGATACACACAGCCTAGACATACCATAGGCAACAAAATCAACAGAAATAAATGGGTTTTTAAATATTAGAATGTTTTTTATTTTAGCAAATTGTATTCTACCACTTAATATTTCAACTTCGTTTCACTGAAATGAGGTCACATGTCTATGCTTCTTAAAATACAGTTTCAATATATTTATATTTTGTTAGCTCAATCCCTCGTAATAATTAGTATAGGAAATGTATTCCAGAGGTTCCCTGAATTGCTTATAGCTGACCTATATTATCAGACTATTGAAACTCTTTACATGTGAGACATTAATATTGTGCTCTGGAATATATTTAGTATAAAATATAACCAATATGTGAATGTCAGAAAAGCTCTGTTTGAGATGTCCTAAGGTAAATGTGCTGTTCCATGCATAATATCTATGCGTTTTTCTTCCTTAGCTGAGTTTAAATGTCAGCCTGGCCGTTTTCAGTGTGGAACTGGGCTCTGTGCTTTGCCTGCATTCATTTGTGATGGAGAGAATGATTGTGGGGACAATTCGGATGAGCTCAACTGTGGTAAGTGATTACCTTCCTGGAAAGCATAACTCTAATTTTAACTGATTATGGATGCATTGATTTCAATCAGACATAGACTTTTGTTCAGATTCTTTGTTCACACTGTTTTAGACACACATGTTTGCCTGTCGGGTCAGTTCAAGTGTACCAAGAATCAGAAATGCATCCCGGTAAACCTCAGATGCAATGGGCAAGATGACTGTGGGGACGAGGAAGATGAAAGAGACTGCCGTAAGTCAGTCACGATGCTCTGTCCTGTGTTATTTTTGACTCTTAACAAAAATTAGTTTGATAAACATTCAACATAAATTTTTACAAGGTAAAAAAAAAAACAAGGAAATACTTTTGGTCAAACAAGTATTAGTAGATGTCAATTTGGGTAGACTAAGAAGTTCTATATTAAAATACAGAGAGAAATGAAACATGGGTAATCTTTAAAGTCTGCCTGAGAGCTGTGACAAACGCATGCGACAGCCATTCATCAACATCCTTAAGAGAAACCACATTGTGGTTGGTTATGGATTTTTGCAGAAACGTATTTTTTTGCCCACATTAAGTAGAAACTGGTAATTTATTTCCATCATTAAGTCAGCTTAAAATGAACTCCATTATAACTGGAAGTATTTCCCTGATGATATGTATATTGAAACTGTGACAAGAAATTGAAATTTTCAACAAATCCCTTAACAAAGTTACTGATAAAGAATTATAAATATTCTGTTGAATAAATCTTAAAAGACTACTTGAAATAATAAGAAATGATATTTTTCTGTTGACTATGCATTTCAATCTCCTTCCAAAAACCAAAGTACATTAAATTGTTGCTAAAATAGGGAACACTAAATACATCATAGAGAAGCATACATGTATGTGTGGACACAGTCCACTCACCTTGACCCACACAAACACACATAACCTGAAGGATTAAGCACCTGTCAAGTTTCACATTTTCAACACGATGACTGTCAACATTTCAGGCTTGCTGAAGTTTTATTTTATTCCTTTAAAACTTTTATCAGTAAATAATGTGCAGCCATCCAGCAATTTGATTAAGATGGCACTTTGAGAATAAAGTCATTTCCAGTTCTTTATGGCTAGCCATTCTAGAAGCTCATTCATTAAGCTGGCTAGGATTTGTGAAGCAGTTTACAGTCTGAGTCAGATGTTCACCATTTCCCTCAAGAAAACAAAACATTTCCTACACACTTTGATTACATTTTTATGCTTTTATTTCCTCATTCAATTAATGTGCTCTAATTCTAGTCTTTTTCTGTTTATAAAAAGGCGTATGTGTAAATTTCTAAACATGCCTGGAACATTATTTAGAAAAAAAACCTGTATTCCTTGTTTTTTTTAATTTGCTTTCAAATATCTAATTAAGAGGATTTTAAATTCTAATTTTAATTAGCACATTATCACAGAAATATATTTTCCTTATTTCTATTGGAAAAGATATTAAGAACATATTACAAATAACGAACATTTTCAAATTCCTTGTGTTCAGCCAAGAAAATATTCTTTGAATGAACTTTTTTAGACTTCCTAATTGTTTTTTATAAATAAAATATCTGCTGTCCTTCAAATCTACATATTCATAGCTGTTTTCCTCTTAAGCTGAAAACAGCTGTTCTCCAGACTATTTCCAGTGTAAAACTACCAAACACTGCATTTCCAAGCTGTGGGTTTGTGACGAGGATCCAGACTGTGCAGATGCATCAGACGAAGCCAACTGCGGTGAGTCCTTTGTGACAGTGTGTCTAGTCTGTTTGCACTTGCGTCATCCACTGAGTCAACCACAGTGAGACACATTTGAACACAATTCTGGTGAAGCAAAGCTCTTTGATAAGAATTTTTTTTATGTCTTCATAGAATTATAGCAAAAATTCAGTTACCTATCTTAGAGAAAGCATAGAGGGGTAGAATGGAAGCAGTAAGTCTCAAATTGTATAACCCAAGAGTATTTATAATGACAGATCAAAAAATTAGGACAATACCATCATATTGGTGAGTTGGCAGAACATAAAATTCGTATTATCCTAGACTTTATTTTTTTTGCTTAAATTAATATTTCTCCATTGATTCAGAGACTGTTGTTCTTCATTTTAAGCATAGTGGAAAAAAAGAAAAAACAGTAAAGGATGTGTTCTTTTGAGTAAATAAAAGTGATCACTTTGGTTAGTATTTGGTTCTGAAACATTTTTTCACTTAGTTTTTTTTACAATGATTCTTAATTAACATTGCAGATGTGTAGAATATATTCATTTTGTTTAATGCATTCCATCCTATAGTATTTTGAAAATGTCAAGAATGAAATAGAAATGGAGAGTATTCCATACATGTAATTCATTTTATCAGTGTTTGCTAAACATTAATTAACCCTGTTTTGCAATAAATATGTCAACTCTTCTTAGAGAAGAAAGTGCAATTACTTTAATTCTTTATTAGAGAAGACAATGTCTCCAACTAAACTTTCTACAAACTAAACATAAGACTTGCAATCTTCATAATTAAACTTGTTTAAATAAATTTGCTAGATTATACATTACTCTTACTTAATTTTTGTTGAGTAAACAAAACTAACATAACCCTTATTTTCTTTATATTTCCATTTGTATTGAACAATTTGTGTAATCAGTGGCAATCATAACATGTTCTTAATTTGCTTACTGAATACATTTGTTTCCCATACAGCTGTGTCTTTGGAATATGTATCCATTATAACTTGTCACAGGAAAATAAAACTATTTGTTGTTTTGTGTAGATTGATCTACAATTAATTCATAAAGCCTCAAATATATTCATCACCAGTTTTCCTACAGCAGTTCTAAAGACTTTAGTAGACTAGTTCATAGTATAAACTTGTTTTCTCAGTTGCCTTTTGTATTTTTATTTATTAAAATAAGGTGGAATAATTACAACATTTAAAAATTCTTGGATTGGATGTTGCTTCTATAATTCTGTATTTTATAGTCCTCCACACTTGGTACAATTTACCTGTTATGGTAGGTTATATTAGTAAAAAATTTGTAAACTATTGCTTGGATAATAATCTTTCATTAATGTGTTAGAGACTTCACACTACGGGAAGTCTGTGAGATGAACTTTATCTCAGTTTCCATGATTTTTTTGTTGTCAATATGACATTGTATGCATTCAAAAATATACAACTGATCAACATGTACTTTCACTTTGCTTTGAATGGGTGACCAGAAACTTTGAGTCAGGCTGCTCAAGAAAGAAATAACATTTTTGAATTAAAGTAAGTTCATATTGGGCTGGGGATTTAGCTCAGCGGCATAAGCACCTGCCTTGCAAGCAGGCGGTCGTGAGTTCGATTCCTGGTACCGATAAAAAAGAAAAAGACAAAAAAAAAAAAAAAAAAGTAAGTTCATATTAATGTATAAAATATTACAAATGTTCAGACATGTATAAAACTTATGCATTAAATATTACATGTCATTCGGTTATGATTTGTGCCTGAATGTCCCTCCAAATCCTCATGCATTCATGGTGAGGCCGACTTTTCAGAGGCAACTGAATAGAGTATGTGACTCATTTGTGATATAATGTGGAATTGAGAATGTAAGTGCTGCATCCACCTTAAGGCAGGTAGCCAGCGTAGAAGAGACAGAAAGAGGCTTCTTGTTCCCTTTCCCAGTCTTCTACCACCATGAACTGTTGCCCCTTTGCCAAGCCGCACTGTCTGAGATCCAGATGATTATGGGCTGAAACCTGTACTAACTGGAGGCTAAACAGACTTCTCCTTTAAACTTGAGTGCTCAGTATTTTGTCTCAGCAATGAGAGAAAAGCAACTAAGATACATTTCCACTAGATTTTAGAATTTCAGCTAACAATACATCTTTTAAAACATTCATATTATACAGCAGTACTTATGACCTTCCTCCTCTATTCCTTTGAATGTCCTAAAGTGTTATTATATAAACATATATTTAGCAATAAGAATGTTAAGTGAAATGAATCAGACATACAAGTTTCAAATTGCTTTATTTCTCTAATGAGAAACTCAAAAGATAATTAAAGGACAAAACAAAATATAGACGTTAGTAAGTAGGGAGATCTTTGTCAAATGGGAAAGGGATCTAGATATGAAGTGAAGGACAAGGTAGGGAATGGAAAATAAATTTTAAAAATATTGAAGACGAAAGAGGAAATAGAACTTTGGCACAAGGGACAGGAAAGAAAAGTTAGAAGGAACAGGGAGAAAGAGAAAGGAAGGAGACAAATAATTACAATGTGTTGTATACATCTACAAAATCCCCACAATAAATGTAATCATTATGGAATGTAAATGCCTATTAATATATATATATATACATGACTTTGAAAAATTGTAGTATTTTTGCTATTTAATGTAGTATATTAATAAAGATAAATGTATTAATCTTGCTCCTTACTAAAGTTTATCTCTACATGTTAGAATTATTAAGCATTTATTAGCAAATTAATCACACAACATTTCCTACTATCATGAAGTTCCCCACTTAGATACTCTGGTTATAGCCTTATACAAAAACTCATTTAAAAAAGAGTTGAGAACATAGAGAAGCAGGATGCCTTTAAATCTTCTATCAGGAGAAGGCTAAATTATCCTTGGTATGAGCACCTGGAGTGAACCCGAAGAGGAAGTCTTTGGTACCAATGTTGTAACTTAAACTGCTAAAAACTGTTTTAAAAATTCATGATCTTGGAATTAATTTATTTATGAATTTAGTGATTTTTGAAAAGTTGTGTTGGAGCTGGGGATACAGTTTAGTGTTGCAGCACTTTTCTGATAAGTGCAAGATCTTAAGTTTGATTCCAAGTTCCCACCCAAAAAATTGTGTCATATTAAAGTTACAATAGCACTTAACAGATGATAGTTGCATGATTTCAGGTAGGCCTTTCTAGAAACTCTACTGTTATGCTCTGCTATATTAGCTAGTCTACTAAAGTCGTTTAAAATTGATATAAGAAAACTGGTGATGAATATAGTTTGAGGTTTTGCTTTGTGAATTAACTGTGGATATCAGTCCCACACAATGATAAACACTAGTTTTATGATGCTGTAATAAATTATAATGATTTCATGTTCCAAAGACACAGTTATATGGAAGACACTATTTGGAAAACAACTCTTGGATCTATTATTACCAGTGATTATGAATATTTTCCAAGGTTAAATCTTTGCTATGCTCTAGAAAGTATGACATACTAAATTCTGTTGAAGAACAGTACACACTTACACCATTTTATTAGGGCATCTGTTTATGCTTTTAGCCCATGCACCCAGGATTTAAATATAGGTTACAATATTTACATGTACATTTTGATGAGCAAACAAATGTTCTGAACTTTCTCAAATGCTTCTACATTGCTATGTGGCTGTCACTTTGAAATGCAGCATGCATGGAGGGAAAGGAGAGCTTGTCATTGAGGGAGGCAGTTGGGTGACAGACTTCAGTGTTTTTAGCGTGCAGTATATGATATCCCTTAAACATTTAGAGAAGTGGGATTATGGGCCCTCATATTATTAGTTAGGAAAGAGGAAGGACCTTCTATCTTTACATACCCTGGGCCTTTGTTGGTCTCTGCTGGATGAGTGTATGATCTGGGTTTGTACTGTAGGTTGGGCAGTGGGATGTGGAGCAGCCAATGTTTGAGCATAAGTTTCAGTAATACATCCTCGTCTCCATTCCTGATGAGCCAATGTCTGGTCTCAAGTTTCTACTGACACATGAAACTTCTTGAGTCTAGTTCTCACAGGAGCACAGCATTCTGAAAATGTTCCAGATCTTCAGAGGAGTTAGGAGAATTATTTCATGTTTATCTGTCTCTCACTTCTAAAGTCATAGCTTGCTCCTAAATGTTGCTGACTGTGACCTATATCCAATGCTAGAAGGTGGACTCTCCACAGGTGAACATAGCTCATTATGGCATTTATCCTTTCATTGTCCAGGACTCAAGTTACTTGAGATGCTACTGTAATCTCTCAAGGACATATGTGTCCTGACTTTTAAATTTTCTTTTTCTTCTGACAATTTCTCAGAATCCATGAGTTTACTTTCTGTTTTTTCTTCTTGTTTGGAAGAGACTTCTATACGATAATTTAGGGATTGTTGAGGGGCGCTTTGCCTGTTCCACTCCTTATTATGCCAAATACTACTGCTACAATATCATAGTAGACAGAAAAGTGAACATCTCAATGTTTCACTGTTTTCTAATCTTTGCAGATAATATATACATATTCTATAATCTTTCTTTTTTAAGGAAATACTTTTAAAATAGTAATTTAACTTTGGGTGTATTTCTAAAATCTTAGAGCAGTTTTAATGAACTATAAGTTCTGTGTGTTACAGTTAGTGGAATTGGTATAGACTCAGTTTGACTATGATTACTGCTACAAAGAGAAAGGCATTTGAAACAACTGCCCAGTTCTTCAATATGATTCTTTTATGGTGCAAAACCTCAAGCCTGAAAAAGGCAGGACTTTTAAAGTGAAACCCACATCTAGTAAATTAGTGAGAAATCATGGAAATATAAAAACTACCTCCACAATGCATAAAATATTTTACAAACTCTATGTTCTGATAATTGTTTCTTCGTATTTAAGAATATCTCATTGAGTTATAAGAAAATTTAAATTATTACTACGAAATGAAAAATATGTAAATATTTTATATATGTAAGTCTAATATATATACATATATATTCCTTAATGATTCATCATATTCTT